GATGATCCCTTCAGGACCAGTGGTGTGAGTGGCGATGCTGGGAGGGTAGAGGGAGAGTGGGTTGGAAAGAGGGAACCGATTACAAGGATCCATATGTGACCTCCTCCCTGGGGGATGGACAACCGAAAACTGGGTGAAGGGAGACGTCGGACAGGGCAAGATATGATGAAATATTAATTTATAAATTATCAAGGGTTCATGAGGGATGGGAGAAAGGGGAGGGAGGGGAAAAAAGGAGGACCGGATGCCAGGAATTTAAGTGGAGAGCAAATGTTTTGAGAATGATGAGGGCAATGAGTGTATGGGTGTGATTTATACAATTGATGTATGTATGGGCTGTGATGGGAGTTGTATGAGCCCCTAATAAAACGATTAAAAAACACATTACAATAAACACCCTTTAGTCTTCATCTAGTTTCACCCATTACCATAAAAGAAGCAATTGCTACATATATTTTCTCTCTCCCTTTACTTCTGCTCTACATTGGAGGAAAAAGTTGCAGATAGAATTTTTGAATCCTAATTACTTCAGCAAAAGCTCAGAAGAACAATTTCTCCCATTTTCCAAATGCAACGCCAAATACCGACAGTCTCAAGATAGCAAATATTTCATGTATACATTGAAGGAACATGTAATAAAAGTCATAGAAGCAAACAAACAGAACAGACTCTTCAGGAAAAAGGAAACCCATCCTCAAGCACAACAACTAAGGAAATGCACGGTGCATTTGCAAACACAGTGTTAGACAGGACGTTTGGGGGACGGTTTGTCGTTTTCTGTTTTATCGAATTGGGCTGTCGTTGTCAGCGTAAGGTGAGATCCATCGCTGCTGCTCTGACTTGCATCTCCCGGATGGCTAGTGACCCTGAGCATCTCCTCGTGTGTTGGTAGCCATTTTAAGGTCATTTTTGGTGAGCTGCTGAGAGCCCCTGAGGCGAGACCAGGCGCGAAATCTAGAAGCAGCTGGGTTACCAGCCTGTTCCTGACAACACTAGATCACAGATGCAAGCAGCCCACGTGCGCGGTTGCTACCATCGCAAACACGGAGGCAACAGGCGCCCGGGTCTCTTGAGGAAGTAAGGATGCTTGCAAAACCGAACAGGACAAAGCAAAACAAACCTGACTCTGGTTCCGTCTTGAAACACAAGTGAGCAATCTTGACCGAGAGATACAGAGCAGGGAAATGCTGCACAGCCCCCTGGAAATGCAAATGGCGAGATTCCAACCCCGGGGAACCCCACAAGGCCTGGGTCCTCCAATAAACTCAATGCAAGAAAATAAAAGGAGGTGGAGGACAGCCTAAAGATTCAACGAGACTTAAAAGGTTTTACAAAGACCAGCAAGACTAAACCGGAGTGTTTGGGGATACACGCTTGGCTGATGAAACTCACGAGAGCTAAGAAAGCGATCCCTCTAAAAGGCAGGCTCGTCATAACTGAGGAGCCCTGGTGGCATAGTGGTTACCAGTTGAGCTACTAACTGCAAAGTCTGCAGTTCGAAACCACCAAGTGCTCCATGGGAGAAAGGTGGGGCTTTCCACTCCATAAAACTGACAGTGTGGGAATCCCACAGGAGCAGTTCTACCCGGTCCTGTCAGGGTGCCAAGAGTCAGAACTGACTGCACGGCAGGGAGTGGAGGTTCTGTATCAGTCCTCTTGGGCAGTGTGGGAGGCAGTGGTTGGTGTTAGGGCAGGGCTATGTGGCTGGTTGGCCAAATTCTCTTTTCTGACTTGGTCACAAGACTGCTTGTGGTGTAATCATAATCCCTAGGCGGTATTTCTTTCTCATAGTTTTCTATATTTTGGATCCTAAACAGGAGTCCTCAAGCTTGTTAAACAGGGGGCCAGATCACTGTCCCTCCGACCCGTTGGAGGGCCGGACTATAGTTTTAAAAAACAACTATGAACAAATTCCTATGCACACTGCACATACCTTATTTTGAAGTAAAATAAGCCAAACGGGGCAAAAACACCCGGCAGGCCGGCTAAATGTCCTCGGCGGGCCGCATGTGGCCCGCGGGCCGTAGTTTGAGGACCCCTGCTATTGAACAACGAAACATGTTAACAAGGAAGGAAGGACCAGGGAGGGAGAGTTTAACTGCCGCGTTGTAAGTCAAAATCCTAATTACACTCTGTCAGGGCAAGGTTAAAGCTTTTGTCTTATTCCTAATAAGGAAACCGGGCCGCTAACTTCCTCCCAGCTCCATGCTCTGAGTTCATCTATGTGTGTGGGTGTGAATTTCTTTGTAATACGCTATTTTTCAAAGGGCAGCTCGAGGGTGACAGAAAATAAAATGAATGCAAAGTCAAGTCCCTATGTACCACCTCTCCCCACCGCACCAGGGCCCTGGGACTAGCGTCGTGCGTTCGTGCCTGCATCTATTAAAAGTGAAGAAGCTCTCGTGCCTTACTGTTGTCTGAAGTCCATCATTTTCATCGGAGTTCACTCTTGGGGGATGCAGTCCTGGGAGCTTTGGCAAACGGGTGCCGTGGTGTCCGAACCCGTACAGTGTCCTTGCCCTGCCCTTAGGAGGGCCCTGGGTGGGCTAATCCTCCTCTTCCCGAGTTAATCTGAGTGTTCATTCCATCCTGGGATTCGGCCTTCAGAACGACTCATACGCTCCCTCATTGAATTCTCACCACCGCTGTCATGAGCCCAATTTGCAGCTACGCCATCAGAGGCACCAAGAGGTGAAGTGCTTGCCCATAATGGCGCAGCTTGTGGGGGCTGTGTGTGGGGTTAGAGCCCCGGGTCTGTCTGAGCCCACAGTCTGAACTTCCAGGCGCTTGACAAAACACCTGACCAGAGGAATCCCCAGGTGTGCAGAGTCAGGGGGGGTGGGGGGGTGGGGCTCCCCTGGCCCCTCTGGATGGGATTCCCTGCTGCCAGGCCTGTCACTGTTGCATGCAACATTTTCCGGGTGGGCACCCAGGCTGATGAGTCTCTTGTGCCCAGGATCCCAGAGCCAAGATGCCCCCTCCCCTGGCCCTTCTGCAGATCTATGTCCCCTGCCCCTCCTCATCCCTGCCCAGCCCTCTGGCTTCCTCTTCTCTACCGAGTGAGGACTGCCGTGCCCTATGACCCTCTCTTGCTGAATAACTCAAAGCAGGAAATACGCATCCTATAAAAGGAAGTGAGTATGTTTGAAAGTCAAAGACCTTCTGGACACGCAGAAGGCCAGGCACGAGCTTCAAGCACCCAGCGGGATCCCAGTTGGTGCCACCTGTGGGCAGAGGGTCAGGAGCCAGGGCAGCTGGGCCATGTGGCTGCCCTCTGCTCTGCTCTTTCTCAGCCTCCCAGGTGAGTGGGGCTGGAGTCTTGCAGGAGGCAGAGAGGGTCTGCCCTGGGTTCTTGGGGGCTGCCCTGCCCGGCCAAATGAGAGGGGGCCTTCATGAATTCATTCTACAAAATGCAGCTGTCTCCTACGCCATGCCAGGCATTGTGCCAGGCATCGCACCAGGCCCTAAGGAAGTAGAGGGAAATGCAATTAAATCCACAGGCACGGGGCTGGGGATCCCAGTGCCTATTTTGGAGGTGGGGAGGGGCAGGACACAAGGCAATCCCTAACAGATGCAGATGGCCAAAGTCCTTGAATCCCCAACGCGGGTTGTGACTCATTGTAAAGCAGTGAGATGGAATGAGGTGGCCGGAGAGGTCCTGGAAGATATGTAAGTGCTCGTAGTAAGTGCAGCTATGATGTGGTGGGTGAGATGGCGGGGTGGGCATCGCATACAAAATTCTAGCAACAATTTGGAGAGGAGACTGGAGGTGGGGGGTGGCACAGGAGGCAGGAAACCTCTCAGGCCACTTCTGCCACCATCCAGGTGCCAGAGTGGATCCTGCGCAGCATCCCCAATGCCTGTGTTGGCAACCCGACTGGCAAGAAACCAAGTGTCGCAGTCCTTGTTATGAATCAGGAACCAAGGCTCAGAGAGGTTAAGTAACTGGTCTAAGTTTGCTGGCCACTCTGTGGTTCTTTCTACATTTCTACACCCAAAGCTCATCGTCTTTCTGCAATGCGCTGTCCCAGACAAGACAGTAATTGTAAGGAACCTTTCTGAGGTACCATTGATGCAAAGTTGTGAAATTTGGCTCTGGGGATGAAGCAGAAGGCAGGCTCCGTGGAGATACCAAGTCCTCTAGGGAAGTGATTGGTCTGAAGAGTCTAAAGTTGGTTCTCCCTGGTGGCGCCGTGGTTAAGCCTTTGCTGCTAAGCAAAAGGTGGGCAGTGCAATCCTACCAGCTGCTCTGCAGGACAGAGATATGGCAGTCAGCTTCTGTAAAGATGTACAGCCTCAGCCCCACCCTGGGCAGTGGTCTGGGAACCTTTGGACACGTTACTTAACCACGCCTCTGGAGGGTCCTCTGTGGGTGGGAATCGCCTTGACAGCAGTTGAGTTTGGCTTGGCTCTTGATTGAATCCTATGTTCGATGCCTATTGCTTGATTATCTGACGGCCCAGTGTTATCACATCGGTCCTTATAAATCAAAAATGGAGGCAGGAGAGTGTCAGAGCCAGAGAGAGATCTGAAGATGTTACTCTGCTAATTGAAGGCTGGAGCTAGTGCTCACCTCATTGGGTCTTGTTATCAGTAGCCAGGGTGCCCTCGGCCGTAGCGGCCGAGCATGATTAATAGGCCCAGAACAACTTACAGGACAGTGAAATGACCTCGTGGGATGCTGTCACAGTGTGCACAGAACAGCATGCATTCGCCTGGTCCTTCCTGGCAGATGTACTGGTTGCCCCAAGCATACGTGTGTTTCATTACAGGCTCTAAGGTCTTTACTTCTTTATTGCCATCCTGGCAGCCTCATGTATGCAGACTAGAACTATGTTCCAGAGAGTTTTCCATGGCTGGTTTTGGGGGCAAGTAGATCTCATGCTTTCCATCCAAGCTGTTCCTGGGTAGACTCAAACCACCAACCTTTGGGTTCATAGCTGAGTGTGACACCCACTCGCACCACTCCGTCTCCAGAATAGCCTTGCTAGACGGCAGAAATCAAGGTTATCAGCGGAGCTGCACTCCTTCCTGAGGCTCTGGGGGGGAATGTATCTCCCGTCTTTTCCAGCTTCTAGCGGGCACTGCGCTGCTTGGCTCATGACTCCTTCCTCCATCCTCAAAGCAGGCTGCAAACACCTTCAGATCTCTCTCTGGCCCTGGTACCCACCCTCTTGCCTCCTTCATTCACTTTCAGAGACCCCTGTGATGGCACTGGGCCCATCAGATAATCCAGGGCCATCTCCCCATCTCAAGATCCTTACCTTAATCACACCTATAAAGTCTCTTTTGTCGTGTAAGGTACCTCTCCATAGGTGCTGGGGATGAGGGTATAGATGTCATTAGGGAGGGTGGGGTATTGTTGAGTACAAATGACAAGACCGGGGAAATGGAAGGGACTCAGGGAGAGGGTTCTAAGGGGTGAGGAGGTGGCATGTTGCTGTGTGGTGGGTTGTTTGCAGATGGCCTTTCTCACCATGATCCCCTACCTCCTAGCAAATGAGGTGCTTATGGCCTACCAAGGAGATTGGCAGGCTTCCTAGTAAGGCAAATAAGGTGCATGGCATGCTTGTAGGAATGGGATCATACAAATAAGGTGCCTGCTACTCCGGCAAGAGGATTGGTCAGTTTAGTCATCCTGTTGGGCTTAAAATGGGTTACTCCACAGCAGACAGGAAATATCACTGCCACCAAGGGGAAAATTGAGGACTGGAATCCACCCTTTGGATCAGGGATCCCTGTGCTGAGAACCTCCTAGACTGAGAAAACTGGGAGGGAGATGTAGCTAGAGAGGCCAGGAAGCATAAACAGAAATGGCAGCAGCCCGGGGACATCATAACCTGGAGATTTGTAGGGGACAATGTGGTGGGTTGCTAAATCCACTTAATGAGAAAGCTAAGTGCCTTTAGGCAGAAGGTGTGCTGTGGAAGTGGGATATCTCTGGGCCCTTATTGACAGGTCTAGGCTCTCCTAGCCTGGGAGTGAGAGTGCAGGGGGCTTGCTGGTAGAGTACAGTGGCGCCAGGCACTTGCCAGCTGAGTTAGGCTCATTGACCTGCAGAGCTAGACAGTTAAACACTTTGTGGTTAAATCTTCCTGCCAGAGCAGGGTACCTATGGGCAATTATTGGTGGACCCAAAGCAGTGGTTCTCAACCTCCCTAATGCCGCGACCCTTTCATACAGTTCCTCATGTTGTGGTGACCCCTCAACCGTAAAATTATTTTCATTGCTACTTCATAACTATCATTTTGCTACTGTTATGAATTGGGAGACCCCTGTTAAAGGGTCGTTCCACCCCCAAAGGGGTTGAGACCCTCAGGTTGAGAACTGCTGGCCTAAAGAGCTTCGTAATACTTGCCAGAACAGGGGCAGAAGCCAGACTGGCTTGAGGGACTGGGGTTGACAAGGACAAGAGCCACGGAGAGCATGGCCAAGAAGCTGTCCCGATCGAAGCGCTGTATCCTGAGTCGTTCCTGAACCTGACTTACAACCTATTACGTCCACAATAAACCCGATAGTCATAGATAAGGCTTATGAGTCCCGTGTGGTCATGGCAATGAATTATTGAACACCGCAGAGAAGTAGAAAGTCCTGTGGGAGGGATGGCTGGAGTCAGAATGGGATAAAGGGATGGAGAGAGGAAGAATGGCTGGCCTCTTCTTCATAGGAATCAGCCTCGGGCTGATGCTCCTGGTGTTTCTCTCTCACCCCTGTGAAGGTAGATGAGGACGTTGGGCGGTGCTGCTACCACGTCACTTTCACAGTTGGTGTCAGAAGTGGGATCATTGCAGCAACTCACAAAACACGAGACTCGTAAAAACATGAGACTTTGTACAAGAATGATTCTCTCTCTCTCTCTCTCTCTCTCTCTTTTTAATGTTTGATTCTCAAATGGTTGCTTTCATTATTGTTTTGCCTGTAATGGCAAAAAGGAAATTAAGAGATGTTCCGGTTCAACTTCAGGAAGAAAAATCACATCCTGAGTGGCTTGGGACAGGAACCAGGCAGGGTAAACGAGATGATGAATAGGGAACCAGAACCTTCTGGTTCCATGCAGCCAGAAACCCAAGACCTTATGCATATGGAGGGGAAGACAGAAGGCGTGGAGAAGAGAAGAAACAGGAATGCTTTTTACAAAGGCTATGTGATTATCCGAATGTACTGTGGATGTTGAATGTTTCTTCTACCTAGCATTGTAAAACAGACCACATTGTAAGATAGAAAAGAATTTGGGACATTGAAAATAACAGTGTGCATGTAACTCTACCTTCAGCCAGTACTGGATTGGATATGCTAAACGGATGGCCAGGGTTGGTCAAAAGAAACACAGACTGTGTCTAGAATACTGGGGGCTTGAGTAGAAAACCCGGGTCCCACTCAGACTTTTTTTCAGCCAGAAAATTTTCATTTGAGAAGACATGCCGCCCCAGCTAGAATTGCTGAGAGAGAGAGAAGGAAATCGGAAAGAAGCCCTCGTGAGTGCAGGGAGGGGACACTGGTTTGACTTTGGGGATTTTGAACAAGCAGTTTGCCATTAGATAAATTGAGGCAGGAAAGCCAGTACCCATCAGATGAACCCCCTTCCAGGACTGGAAGTTAAATGGAGCTGGCAAGTAAACAGCCAGCATGCTCACTTGAGATGCATGTGAGTATGTGAGACACATAAATGAAGAGATTGACTGAGCTTGCACATGATGCTGAGTTTCATGGACTTAACCCGCGGAACCTGGGAATGTGAGAGAGAAGTGGGTGACTGGCCTACGGTGTAAGGAATTGTTGGGGCTCCTAATCCTATGAATGGTACCTACTGATCTAGACCTCAGAGGTTAAGGAAGAGCTGGCTGGAAGGAGACCGAAGGAAGAGAAATGTTTGACACTGTGAGCTGGTATAGATTGCTGCAATTGGGGGTGGGGGGGTGGGGCTTGCTTTGTACTGGATTTTGCTTATGGCTACAGCTGTTTGGTGTTCTGTTCAGAACAGCAGAGTCTTCAGGTCAAGGAATACTTGTTGACTCTCAGTAGTGTTTTGATAAGGATGGGCAATTTAAACATCGGCTACCTAAAATGGGGAAGCGATAAAGGAATGCAGTGGCTAGCTCACGTGCTTTCATGAGTATGTTTACACTCAGAATGAAGGGACAAGGGAGGCTCTCTGCTGAATAAGTTCCTCTTTTCCTGCTGGACTTGAGGAAGCGCGGGTGGGAGAAGATGCTGATAGGATTACATGACTCAACTGTGAGTGTTGATTGTGAACAGGATTCATTGCGATGGCAAAAAACTGTGATTGTCGAGGCTGTCGGTGTGAAAGAGTGGACTAAGGGGGAGGTACTGCCGGATTGGAGTACAGTGGCTGAACCCAAAGTCCCTGGAAGGTTTCCATACACTGATATTTTGTGACGCATGTTGTTGTTGTTTTATTGTTAAGTGCCCTTGAGTTGGTTCTTGCTCATAGCTGTCCTATATACAACAGGACAAAACCTGCGGGGTCCTGGACCAGCCTCACAATTGTTCTGATGTTTGACCCCATTATGCAGCCGCTCTGTCCATCCATCTTCTCTAAGGTCTTCCCCATTTCCACAGCCCTGTTGCTTTACCGAGCCCGGTGTCCTTCTCCAGAGCTCGGTCTCTCCAAAGTAGGTGAGATGAAGTCTCACCATTCTTGCCTCTAGGGAGCATTCTGGCTATGCGTCTTCCAAGACTGATCGATTTGTTCTTTTGACAGCCGTGGTACTTTAAATATTCTTTTCCAGCACCAAAATTCAAATGTAGTCATTCTTATTCAGTGTTCCTTACTCAATGGCCAGCTTCCACATGCATGTGAGGAGATTCCAAATACCAGGGCCAGTGTAAGACGTGACAGAATAATAATAAGTTATAAATTATCAAAGGTTCATGAGGGAGGGAAGAGTGGAGAGGGAGGGGGAATGATGAGGAGCTGATACCAAGGGCTCAAACAGAAAGCAAATGTTTTGAGAATGATGATGGCAACAAATATACAAATATGCTTGACACAATGGATGGATGGATGGATGGATGGATGGATGGATGGATGGATGGTGATAAGAGTTGTACGAGCCCCCAATAAACTGATTTTTATAAAAGAAAGAAAATACCAAGGCTTGGGCCAAGCACAGCTTAGTTTTCGATGTAGCATCCTTACTCTCAGTCCTTTAACGGGGTATTGTGCAGCTTATTGACTCAATACAAGGCTTACAGCAAAGGAATCAGCTTCTCCCGGTTACATTTTATCAGAGGTCAGACAGGGCAAGTGTAAGATGACTTGTGGAGCAAGAACTGGACCAGATCAGATGTATACTTACAGCAGACATGAATGTTACCTAAACAACGTCATCCTGAAGTCTCTTTGCCCTGGGGAAGACTAGCTGTTAATGATTATTTGGGGCATTATTGGGAGAGGGGAGTTGTTTCCAAGTAGAAAACAGCCATGGCTGGAAAAGCCAGGTGGCCTGAGGTGTGATGGGTCATGTTTATGTGGCCTTTTTTTGGCAAGGTCTTAGAATTTCCACCAAATGACTGAGTGGGACTATGTACATGAGGTCCTGGGAGTGGAACCATGCAGAAAAGGTGTGTGGAACTTGTGAGAGTGGTGGTGGCATAGATGGGTTTTTCCATCCTACTAAGCTTAATCAAGCCATCCCAGAGGTTACCACCAAGGAGAGGAGCTGTCAGCAGAGTGCCTCCTTTGGACCTGGGATCCTTGCCCTGAGAACCCTCTAGACCCAGAAGACAGAAAGAGAAAGAAAGGGTGGGAGGGAGAGAGAGAGAGAGAGAGAGAGACTGGAGATGGTGAGAGATATTGAGGAGCAGCAGCAGAGAAATGGAAGAGGCAAAAACAGCAGAGCTAGACCCGCAGAAGTGGAGTGGTGGGCTTCCCAGCCCACGCAGTGAGAAGAGATCTGCTGGTGCAGTGGGGCGCCTCTGAGCACTTAGGGGTACAGCTAAAGACCTGTACAAGTGGACTAGGAGCTAGACTGCCATGAGGGGCCAAGGGATTGAGAGACTGAGGGCCCGGGAATGGCCTGCCTGTGGGCATGACTGAGAAGCTATCATGACTGAAGAACTATATCCTGGGTCATTCCTCAGCTTGAGTTATAATCTGTTACCTGCCTAATATAAATCTTGTAAACATGGGCACTGTGAATCATCTAAATATTGACGTGAGAGTGCTATGGGGGGGTGATGTTTGGTGTCAGAATGGGGTAAAATAAACAAACAAATAAATAAATAATGTCTGACCTCAGGTTCATAGGAATCATAACCCTTTGACGGATACTGTTGGTCATTCTCTCCACCTTAGGAAGTTAGATAAGGAGTTAAGATGATACTGCCACCACACCATAGTTTAAAACAGCTTTTTTAAAAAAATCGTTTTATTAGGGGCTCATCACAATCCATACATACATTTTATCACAATCTCTTATCAATGGGTGCATAAGCAAATGTGGCGAAGAAAGCTGATGGTGCCTGGCTATCAAAAAGTATAGCGTCTGGGGTCTTGAAGGCTTGAAGGTAATCAAGCGGCCATCAAGTTTAAAACAGTTTTATTGCCACTTCAACCACATACCATACAATTCAATAGTTCAATCATATCAAGAAGAGTTGTACAATCCTTACCACAATCAATTTTAGAACATTTTCTTCTTCCTTGTACTCATTGTTGTTCAGGTAATTTTCTTTTTCAATTTTGGCAAAAAATATACACACCAAATCATTCTCCAATTCAACAGCATCTGCATGTATAATTCAGTGCCTCTGATCACACTCTGCATATTGATATCTCTCTCCAAACTGTTCCACCACCAGGGCCCTCAGCGAAAACTCTTCCTCCTTCACCCACAGCTACCATAGGTCAAGCTCAGTTTCTTTCTTTCTTCTCAGGAACTTTATTGATATAATATTCACAAAGTCAACCACTTTGTAAAAGAGTTGTATATACACGATCACATACGTTCTAATGCTCCCTCCACCACACCCATTGTTAGACATGCTGATGGTCCAGTGGTCCTAACGCCCTGGCTCTGTAGACTCTCACCTCACCTGCCCACGATTCTGAAGCTGTGTGGCAAGAGAGGCTTCTATTGTGATTCTCTCCCTCTTTATTCACTTCCACGTGGCCAAGACACGTGTGCTCACGCCAAAGGATGAAAGCACATCTCAAAAGGGCAGACATGACAAGAATCCGCCAATTTAACAAGACGGCCATTCAAATTTGTGCTCATCTCAAACTGTCCAACTTATTTGAGGCCCTTATCACTCTGTCCACACGAGCCCTCCACTAGAGAGGAAGGACGGGACCAGAGTACATTCAGCATGGGACAGGTGCCGCGTCGAGTTCTGTACCTGTGGCATTTAAGGTGTATTTGTAAATGGCGGCTTGGAGCTAAGGGAGAAGTCGGGCTGCAGATACAAGTTTGAGTCGTCAGTGTATGGAGAATATTTGAAAGCCTAGGGATGCAGGGAAACCCTCAGGGAGGCACATTCAGTAAGATGAGATGAAGGCTAGAGAGAGAATCCTAGAACACCCCCGGAGTCTGCAGGAGTCAACTCACACTGGCTTGTCCTCCCTCCTAATGAGTCACAGAACTGATTGTGGACACCTCGGGGGTCAAACTCCACGTTCGGCAAGATCACCACCGTAATTGTCAAAACCAGAACTTTTCACTCCCTTGGGTGGCCAGTAGTCAACATTGGCCAACATGCCATCGGTTACACCAAGACTTCATGAAAGGGGGCGAGAAGTGGGATCAGCAGAGATCCCTGAGCTGGAAGAGTCAGATAAGGAGAAGATGAGATGAGAACGGTTTAGAAAGGACGAGGAAGGAGAGTCACGTTCTACAAGGATGTCTATGAAGACGAGCCCCAGGGAGAACACAGGGCCGTCACTGAGGAGGCCCATGCAGGGCACGGCTGAAGAGAGAGGAGATGTCAGGAATGGGGTGTGTTGGGTGGTGGCTGGGAAGGTTGGGGAGGGGAGAGAATGTTCAATCCTCAGACACCGACCTGGGATCCCATGCCCTACGGGCGTCTGGGTTGGGCTGGGCTGGCTCAGGGTGGGAGAGCTGTCTTTGGGGACTCTGTTTTCCAGGCTGCTTCACCATCCGGGGCCCAACGTCAGTGAGTGGCACGGAGCTGGGCTCGGTGACCGTCCAGTGTGACTATGATGCAGGATGGGAGACAAACAGAAAGTGGTGGTGCCGGGGGAAAAGTTGGAGGTACTGCAAGGTCCTCATTCGAAGCACGGGAACAGAGCAAGAAGTGAAGGCAGGCCGGGTGTCCATCAAGGACAATCACAGAAGCCATTTCTTCACGGTGACCATGGATAAGCTGCGCAGAGACGACGCCAATACGTACTGGTGTGGGATCGCGAAAAGTGGAACAGACCTGGGTGTCCAAGTTCAAGTGACTGTCGGCTCAGGTAAGAGTGACCTCATGGGTGGGTCAGGGGTGGTGGTGTCTGTCAGTCATTTGCGAAACGCCAATATGAAGGCAATAACCTGTGATCAACTTGGCCTGTGTCTATCAAAAGCAGTTCTGGCCGCACCAACAAACTGGCCCTTCACGCCATTGACCATGTCCTACATCAGGTGAGTCTCTGTGGTCCCTTCCCTTCTGCCAGGGTACCCACCTCCTAATAAGGGCGATTGTAGTAAAGGGCCACAAATTGGGGTTTTTAGGAGCATAGACATTTATTGTCTGCCAGCTCTGAAGGCCCAAGAGTCTGAAATCAGCGTTGATCACGTGGATTCCTTCTGAGAAAAAAATCTGTTCTCACATTCTAGCCTCCCTCTATGACTGATGTTGACCCTTGGTATTCCTTGGCTTATAGATATGAGGAGGTACCCCACCCCACCCCCAAAATGGATTTTTTCCCCCAAGCTAGTATTTTTTTTAAAAAAACAACCTTATCACCTTCAAAGCACTCTCCATTACATTTAACAATTTGTCAAATCTGCAGTTCCATTCTTGGAAACATTTTCCACACTCATCTGTTTGGATGCTGACAGTACCTCCCTCTTTTCTCCTTCACCTCTTCTGTGTCGTCAAATCACTGTCCTTTCATGTTCCACTTCGTTTGCAGAGACCAAAAGAAGTCACAAGGAGGGAGTGAGGTCAGGTGAGTAAGGCGTGTGGGGCAAGAGAGGCATGCTGTTTTTTAGCCTAAAACTGGTGCACTGAGATGGCTGTGTGAGCAGGTACATTGTCATGGTGGCAAAGCTGACTGTCCTCCCTCTGTCAAAAATCAGGCCTTTTTTGGTCACACACTGTGTTAGGCAGGGTTCTCTAGAGAAACAAAGGCAGAATGCTAATAATTTTGTATATATTTATACAGATAGATAGATAACATAAGAAATAAACATTTAATTAAATTATAAAGCCGAACAAATGGCTCAGTGCAACTCACTCCCGTGAGACAGCTGTGACACACTGGCAGTCCTTCAAGTCTTGAGGGCTGCTGGGTAGTCCTCTGTAGAGCAATTCAGGCTATCCGGGCACAGGCAGCAAACAGCAAGGCAGGTCACCAACAGTCAGCCAGATGACAGGGTCTGACAGTCCCCAGCTCAAGAGATGTAAATTCCAATGGTGTGGTGAAGCAGATCTTGAAGGAACCTCAAATTACAGCGACACAGTCCACGGGTTAGTTGTCCCACAGGTAGTGTAGCTTGCAAATTGAGGCAAAGAACAAGCAAGGCAGCCGCACACTGATCCGATGATCAAAGAGCAAGAGACCTGAGAACTACAAAGGTGAGGCTCGCTGAGCCATTAATCCCTCCGCCCTTCAATTAACCCCACATGTGTTTCTTGGCCAGGTTGGCACAATAAACTAACTACCTCACACACTGTTACACAATCTTTGCAGAACCTCTAAATAGAAAGCTTGATTAACAGTCTGACCTGGTGGAACGAACTCCAAATGAACTATCTCACATCAAAAAACAAATGCGCATCATCTTGATCTTTGATTTCACTTGATGAGTTTTTTTGGGTGAAGTGACGATGGTGTCTTCCACTGGCTTGATTGATGTTTGTTTTGAGGGTCGTAAGAATAGCACCATGTCTCGTCACCAGTAATGACCTTGGAAAAAGGTCTGGGTCGATTCAGAGCTGTTCTTTCAAAGCATGCCATGTTTCCACGTGATGCTCTGTTTGCTGGTCAGTCAGAACCGGAGGCACAAATTTCACAGCGGCCCTTCTCATTCCCAAATCTTCCTTTAAAATATGCTGAACTGAGCTCCAAGATAGTCCAGTAACTTCCCCATCTCTTCAATGATCTGCTGTCAGTCTTCCAGCACAAGCACATGAATTTTGCCAACATTTTCATCCATTCAGGAAGTTGACAGGCGTCCAGAATGAGGTTTGTCATCAACTGACATTTCACCTTTTGAACGAGAAAGTTGAGTTTCTCCCATAGCACTGTCTTTGCAAGCTGTCTTCAACATCACAGCCGCTTCTACGGCATTTCTCCCAACCAGGAAACAACATTGCACAGCCTGTTCTCACACATTGGCCATCCCAAAAAAACGAGGTTCTAGCGAAACTGCTTTTATGAAAAAATTCACTGTGACCAGAGAGCCTTCCCAGGCAATGCCACTGGGTGCACTAACTCAGAGTGAGTTGCTTGATGCTCTCCTTGCGGGAAAAATGCATACTATGAAGGCTCTGTTCTGATCAGCAGAGCTTTTTTTCCTGTGGGTTTTTTTTGGGGGGGGGGGCAGTACCCCCTTGTACATCACTTCCCTCCCTGCCTCTGTTCTCACAGAGCCACCTACCTTCCATCTGTGTCCTCTATGCCCCTTCCCCTCTTTGATACAGACATCGCTCAGTGGATTAGGACCACCTTACTTCCCATATGACCTCATGTCAACTGACATCTTCAAAGACCCTCTCTCCAAACAAGCTCACCATTTCCGGAGGTTGGGAGTTCAATCTATCTTTGGGAAGAGCACAATGCCATCCCTACCACCCCTGTGTTATAACCTGATACCAGCTGAATATGCCCCACCAGACCTGCTGTCGCTCCAGTCCAGGCTCCAAGCCTACCCTCTGTCTCATCCTGCCCCTCAACCCTCCCCATCCACCATCCCCCTCCATCCCTCAGCAGAAGCTCCCTCTGGGGAAATCTTCTCTCTAGTTTAGCCACCCATTTAGTTGACTAACACAAAGGCTTGAGGAGCTAGTGACTACCGAGAGGAACTAAGATACAAATCCCCAAGAGGCAAGGCAGTGCCACGCAGCAGAGAGAATTAGTTCACCTCAATGGTAAAGTGGCCTGGAGCTAGCCAGGAGCAGGGGATGGAAAAATCACAAAGATGGGACGCTGCCGCCTAGATCTGGGGGCTCTAGGTGCCCCTGTAAGGACAGTGGTTCATGCGCTTGGCTGCTAACCGAAAGGCTTGCAATGGGCACCCACCAACTTCTCGCCCCGGGGGAAAGAGGAGACCTGCTTTTATGGGGATGTTCGGTCTCGGGAGCCCTCTGGGCCAGTTCTGCTCTGTCCAATGAGGTCGCTACAAGTTAGAATCGAATCAATGTCCCTGGGGTTAGCTGATTCCCTGGGAGTCCCTGCAGAATGTTTGGCTGCTCATTGAAAGGTTGGCAATTCAAGGCCACCCAGGGGTGCCTCTGAGAAGGGGCAGAAAAGCATCCATGGAAGACCCTGTGGAGTACGAGTCTGCTGTCGCACACGGGAGGTGGCTGTGAGGCAGCTGACTCGGCAGCCACGGGCTGAGTGCTTCCGTAGGGCTGAGAGGTGCTTTGCGCACGGGGAGTCCCGAAGGGGAAAGGCAGGCTGGTTCGGATGACAGCTATTGAGGGGATTGCTGTAGAATCTGAGCAGGTTGTGGTAGTGGGCGATCTCCTCAGTGGGGCTCTGTGCCCTGGCCTGGGCTGGGCAGTGGCGCCACAGCGTTGGGGCACAGGAAGTGCAAGATCTCGGAGTGGGGTGGGGCAAAGGACCTCCAGCTCTGGCTCTGACCCCTCTGCCCTCTCACAGGACCCACTACGTGCTCCTGGCATTTGTGAAGGTGCCCTTCCTCCTCGTCGTGCTTGGAGTTATCCTCTGGTTGAAGGGGTCTCAGAGGGCCCCCAAGGAGCAACGGGGTCAGCCTGACAATGCTGACTTCTCCACGGACCGTCTGGCCAAAGGCACAGCCCCTTGCATGGAAGGACAGTACCTTCTGACCCCGGACCCAGGTTTCAGAGGAGACCTGGGTGCTGGTGGAAGAAATGGCCCCTGAGTCCTGAGATGCCAAGGACCCAGGCTGAGGACCGAGGCCTCCACTCTGGCCCCGGGGCTGTCCAGTAGCCCTCCTGACACTGCATCACTCGAGACACAACCAGGGTCCTTCTGAGGCCTCTTGGAATGTGAGCACCTTATTAGCACATCTTCTGGTAGCAAACACCTCACCCCACCAGGGCAGGTGGGGCTCCTGGCCGGGGCTGTCGGTGAACAGCGTGTCCTTGCGGCTCAGCCCGGACTGTCGCACAGACAGAAGCCACACAGTGTGTGAGACAGAGCAGGGATGGGGACCCGCCACACGCTTGTAGGACAGACCTACAGCATTTTTTAAGTTGGTCCAGTTGGGCTTTGATGACTCGTGTTCCCGAGAATCCCGGCTGAAGGTCTTCCTCCGAAGGGCAATTTTGTGGTGACTTCCTGGTTCAGAAGGCACCCTGGTGACATCATGGATGAGAGCTGGGCTGCTAACCACAAGATCAGCAGTTCAAACTCACCAACTGCTCCTTGGGAGAAAGATGAGGCTTTCTGCTTCCCTACCGAGTTACAGCCTCAGGACCCCACAATAGCGTTCTACCCTGTCCTATTCGATCGTGATGAGTTTAAATCAACTTCATGACCGTGAGCTTTTCTGTCCTGGTTCAGGGGCCTGAGTGGATTGGATGTTCCTACTACCTGGGCAGGACACTTGTCCTGAGTCCAAAGGCTGAGGAGGCCACCTGGGCCCAGCGTCAGTGCTGGGCTTCATCCTTCCTCCTCTTCCTCCACTCTGCCTCCCCAGATTACTTGTCCTCTGAGCAGGGCTGAACTTCCAGGTGCTGAAACTTGGGCATCTGGCCCTTCGGTCTTCTCCTGAGGACAACTGCTCAGGCCACCTCCTGCGGGCTTGTTAACCTCAAGAAACTACCTCAAGGTTGGGGGTGGAGGGTAATGCTGATTAAAGCCGTCTGAGGGGTCTACTGTTGTCTATTTTAAGTCATGCTGTCTACATCATGTTGTTCATTGAAACAGAATTTCTGATGAGGGTGACGGAGACATTCCGAAACAGTGGTGACGATTGCACAGCAGGGCGAATGTGACCAATGCCACTGAATGGTTCCTGCAAAAAAACAATGTTGAAACGGGAAACATTTTGTGACATAAACACTTGCCATGGAAATAACTGTGAATGAAATACTTGATTTTGGGGGGGTATCACGGATGATGGACCCTCACAGATGAAGGAGTTCCCCTTAATGTGCAGAGAAGCTGCAAACCAACATGCACATAGACATGCATGTACACACACATTTGGGATGTCTCCTTTTGAGCCTTCCAGATGTTGTGTCCACCCTCCGCTCTGTCCGAATGGTGGGCCGTGATTCTCAACATCAAGAGGCAACAGGAAGTTCTCAGCAAGGAATACAGGAGAGAGGAATTTTCCAGGGTCTGCCATATGACCTTGAATTTCCCCTCTTCACTGGGACTCTGGAATCCCGGCTTATGCAAGGGTCACTCCTGGTTATCCTTCAGCTGTCGAGAAACCCTCTCAAACCCACCTTCGTACCTATGACTCCAGCGCAGACTCTCTGTTCATTCATGAAGTCAGCCCTTTGCTCTACACATCTGTGTTGATCACTGGATGGGGCACGCAAGGGGACCCTAAGTTCCAAAGTTACCAAGGAAACTGCCCGAGGGCACATCACCCAAGAAGCAAGTTGCGGGTGTCTGCATGCTGCAAGATTTCTCAGCGAGTAAAAGGAACACCCAGGGGTCTGTCCAATGGCCTGGGTGAATTGTAAGAGAAGAGGGTGCTAATGAGTGAAGCGACATTACGATAAATGGAGAAAAGGTTACCATTGCCAAGAAATGTTATCTGGATGCATAGCCAGGGCCCCTGGACGCTTCTGAGGAGAAATCCAGCCACGGGTTGCATTGAGCAAATCTGCGGCACGAGACCTCTTCAACGTGTTAAAGAGCAAAACTGTCGCTAGAAGAACCCACGTGCACCTGCCTCGGGCCACGGCGTGCTCAGTTGTCTGCGATTCAGGAGCAAGCTTTGCGAGGAACAGTGAGGGAGAACTGGCGCCCTCGCATGATGCTGTCAGTGACGAGCGTGAACGGACCACGGACTTCCCAGAGGACAAATGAATCCGTTTGGGAAGAAGAACATGTAGTCAGGAGATACCAGTCCCTGGAGAAGCACATCATGCTGGAGAAAGAGTCCGAGAGAGGAGGAGGACCCTCGACCAGAGGGATGGACCCGGGAGCTGCAACCTGGGCTGCAGTGTAGGAACACTTGGAGGGTGGCGCAGAACTGGGTAATGGTTCACTGTGTTGTCCGTGAGGTCGCGGTGGGTTGGGATGACTTGACAAGGGTCTCTGGCAACAATTGAACAACTCCATCTAAATGATAGCTCAGTAAAACGTCTTTTTACTTATTTGTGTGTTTCAGTGACCCAAGTTTACAGATGGCAAAGGCCAAAGAGGCATGCGGGCTGCTTTCCCCCTGCTCCGGCGGTGTGACTTTCCCCCAGTACCTGGACCCTAGTCAACCTCTGCCAGGGCTAGGAGCTCAATGTGGACTCTCAGGGTGTTCTTCCTGGTGACTGAGCCAGAGCTTGAATGTGCTGACCTGGGCCTGAATTGTCCTGGGCCTGGCCAGAGGCCTGTCCTGAGGAAGACAGTGGGGTTTGGATACGTACGTCTCTGAGCGGTTCCACTGACAAGTCTCCCAGTATCCCATGGGACCTCGCCACCTTCCCCAAGAGACTAATCAGAGGCATTGACAGACGTCAGCTTAGGTTCTCGATTTAGAAAAAGGAAGACTAACTGACCGCAGGCAAATGTAAGTCTATTAAACATCTCCTATCTCTCATCAGATCACTACGATATCAGAAATCTTCATCAGTAAGTGCTTCGAGAGACCTCTTGGCTCTCAACAGACGTGGTTTTTATCTGAATATCACAGGCTCTGAATGTGCCTTCCGCCCGGATGCCGTCATCTCCTTCATAGAGAGCCGGCTTATGTATTTGCTCAGCGAGCAGCTTGCCTGGGTCTGATGAAAGGACAGTCTTTCCTTGGCTTCAAACCATGCAGTGTCCACTTAGTTCATTAGAAGCCTCACTTCTTGGTCGATGGACAGGTTCAGCACGGGCGCAGTGACGTGCTCTGGGATTCCCCTGCTTGGCAATGTTATCCGTACTTTGCTATGATAAAGTCAGTCACACGCAGGTCAACATCTCTTGTGTGCTCTCAGCTTTCAGACGAGATCTATGGGGAGGAGTACAATTGCCCTGGAGTGTTTCCCACTTGGTCATCTTCATGGGAGGAGATGCCCAGGTGTTTTATCTTGAGCTGCTGGTTGGTTTCAACCACAAACCACTCAGTTAGTTTAGAGCTTAACCACTGGGTCATCGAGGATGCGCAAAATGAGTGTCGTCTCATAGTGCCATTTTTTGTTCATTTGTTTTGACCCGGACCGACAACAGACAGGGATGCTGTTGTTCTGTGCGGCTGCTATTGTTGTTGTTGTTGTTACACGGTCACTTCCCTTTGCCAGCTGTCCCATTATACTGAGGGTTTAAACCTGGTACATGTTCTAGCCACCTGTGGGTGTCTCAGTTACAGCTCCCCTTTGGGAATGAGCCCAAGCGTGGAGCTCCCCCAAGTTCTGCCTCCTTACACGGGCAGTTGGGCGCAGGCTAGCCACAGCTTCCTCATTCACTTACTTCCCCTGGTTTGACAGTAACTCCTGACCGTGGGGTTTTAGCTGGTTTGTTTTCGTCTCTGGGAGTGCCCAGGCTGTGTGTTGACGTAAGTTCCTTCCTGCACCGTTCATTGTCTCAGCACCGTCTTCATGCTAAGAGTACTCCTCCTGACCCCGAGCCATCTGTAGCCTGCTGTGATCCCATCCAGGCACAAGGACTTCTGGGAAAACCTTCCCGGAGTTCCCTCCCAGTAGATCTCCCCTGATCTACCGGTTCAGGCTCAGATAACAAACGACAAACCAGCCACCAGCAAGATGATTGGAACCCCCGCCCCCACCCCGCAGTCCCCTGAAGCCGAGCGAAGCCCATCCCTCGTGAGCCAGATGCTCTCTGAGATTGAATGATGACTCTTGACATTTTGGGTGTTGCCTTGACTGAGCCATGGTCCTCAGTGGCTTGGCAGTTATGCGATGATGTCACTTGGCAGTTCTATTGAGTTGTACCCATCTCTCAGGGTGTGATCTGATGTGAGCGGTCAACCAGCTGCGAGGGGTTCGGGAGGAACGCAGCATCCTTCCACAAGTCACAGCCCCATCTGAACGAAGTAAGGGCAGCTTCTCCAGCGTGTGGCCTGCGTCACATCTTATCTTAGAAGGGATCAAAGGAGAGCCCGGGAATCAGGGAAGAGGCACCTGGGTACAAAGCCTGGAACGGAGCACGCCCTTCAGAGCCATGGTCCCTACGATGAGGATTTCCTAAAACCAGGGGGCGATTGACCCCAAGACACATGGAAGACCTCAAGGAAGGCCAGGCCCACGGTTGTGGATGGGAGACGGGGACCTTCCCTTAGAACGGACGCACAGAGAAAACCGTCCCTCGCGCCGGCCCTCTGAACGTCCGGCTTCTAGCTCCTCTCCGATGGAGGACGGCCTTTCTGTTTGTTAGAGCAGCTCACTCGTGGTATTTTGGTTATAGCGGTGGGAGATAACTCGGACATACGGGGAAAGGTCCGCTTTGGAAACGCTGGCAGCACCGTTTGGGGGATGTTGACCTTGGGTTGGAGAGGACCACCGTGCCCACCACAAACACTTTGCTGGCACGACCCTCGGGATCGAAGGGCATGCAGCCTTGAGAACTGGGTTCTGCCCTTTGCTCCTTACGGTCGCAGGTCAGTCTCATCCAGGACAGCAAAGAGCTATTTTTCGTGGGTCGGAAAACTCCCTCAAGCTCCTCCCAGCTCAAGTTTTGCAAAACACATGCTGTCTTTCTAGGCTCTGGGGGCAAGCCCGTAGCTGGGTCCCAGTCCTCTAGATCCATCAGGGAACGGCTGCTCCCGGAGGGATTGTGAGCTTCAGCCCCAGGGAAGCCAGAAACGGAGCTGTAGCCTTAGGAGAGGCTGTCTGGTTGGGTCTGTGCTTTCCCAGTGACGAGCCCAAAGGTGAGGCTCCTCCCACTGAACCACCTCCTCACCTGTGGGAAACAGAGGAACGGAAAGAGAGTGTATGCAGACAAATTCATTATTCCCAAATTTTAAGAAGCCAGGCAGGCCAGGATTGGGAGGGTGAAGGAATGCCTTTACACTTGTGAGTTAGAGATGAGTCCCAATCACATTCTCATAATTAATAGTGATCCCCCCAATATCCTCCTATAAGCGTGCTGCCTTGAAGTTACCTGTTACAAGCATACTGGCTGGCAGCTTTATCCATAGGAGCAGACGCATTGCTATTGCTCTCACTGCTCAGGGGACAGTCACTCCCCCTGACCTGGCCCCAGCGTTGGTGCTAGGTCACTCCTTCAACTCAAAGACTTCTAGGGTTTAGGGTACAGCCCATTTTCTGTAATTACAGGGGCTTGCCTCCCCCAAGAGTAATAAGCTGATGCTCAGAACACAATCTCTCTCCCTCTGCTTGGATCTAGCTCCTGAAGTCATGGCGGAGGTGAGCACCCCAACACTTTTGTCTGTCTCTGAATTTCTTCCCCTCAGTTATACAGCAGTCCCTTAGGGCCTGTCTGGATGTGAAGCTGCCCTTCACACTCCCTGCTCTGCTCTGCTCTGCTCTGCACCCCTCTCTGGTCAGCTGAGTCACCTTTGGTGTGGCTTTGGGGCCCAACCCACAAACGGTTATTTGGGGTCACGTGCTCTCCCACTTCCTCCTTAGAAGAGCAGAGGCCCATCAGCCTCTGTAGGGAGGGGAACAGACAGCATCGCTCCCATGTTGGCAGAAGGAAGGGGTCCCTTACCTGGCCCTGGGGCAGGCTCTCGGACAGGTTTCAGGCCGGAGCTGAGAGTAACTGGGGGCTCCCACTGACCTCTGACAACTCTGAGTCCCTCCTGGCTCCTCCCCTCAACTGGACCTGCACCTGTTCCCCTGTGCCATGCATTGTAGGGTCTGGTACCTGGCTGTTGTGTGAGTTATATGTAGTGATCTCGTCCCTCTCATCTATCTCCCTGAAGAGGACTTCTAGCCTCTGCTTGACCTCTGCCAGGCATGGCTGGACCACTGTTTTGAGGGAAAGCCCATTTCACGAGTTCAATGGATGGTGGGCCGAGCGTTGGCCCACACTGGGTCACTGTGTGTGTGTGAGTGTGTATTTCAGAACATTCATTTTAAAAGGAGAGAACCATTACGGCGGGCCACAACATTATCTCGCCCTGGGGAAGAGCACCTGCCCTTGAAGCGTCCTTTGCGAGCGGCAAGCCCACATCCCGGGGAACAGCTGCTCCGAATCACGGTTTCGTTATCATACCAGGGTCAACAGCCCTTGACTTGCGTGGAGTCAAGATCATTCTTTGCTATGAACTGTTATTTGCTTAAAACAGAAAGTCGGCATGTGCCGTGAAGGAAATTACGTGATAGGCTCTTCTACAGAGACTGTGGAGTCTTTGTAACGCCCCCCAAACGAATGGGGTGATCATGCCAGGAAGGTGTCAACAATGACTCCAGCTCAGCGATGGGTCAGGTTGGCCCTCCTGCCGGGTCCCAGCGTGGGTGTGAGAAGCAGGGAGAGAATCCTGTGATGGTCAAGGACAAACAGCTGCCGGCAGAGCTTGCTTGAGATCCCTACTTGAAGAGGCAGAGGCCTTGAGACCACGAGACAGAGCAGTGGGCTTAGCAGACCACGGGACGCGACAGAAGCCAAGGGTCACACAGCCGAGAGGCTGAGGACCAGAGAGAGAGATGGCCACTGGCATAGCTGAGCCAAGAGATGCTCTTGTGACCAAAGGCCTGGATCAATCATGTTCCCTGGTCCTGACTGTGGAGGTTGGGAACTTCCCTGATAAGCCCCCATCATCAAGAGCGTGATTTATGAGGGCTGTGTGGTCACTGCTATGGCCTGCTGAGCCCGGCAGGGAAGCGGGGTGCAGTGGGAGGGACGGCTGGTGACAAATAGGATCGAAAACGCTGGATAGTGGGGGCATGTCTGACCTCTGCCTCCTGGGAATCGTGCTTGGGCAGAAGGGAGTTGGAGTCTTCCTCTGCCTGGCGCAGCCACAGGAGGTCACCCGTGGACCTCATGCCATTGCCCCAGCGGGGTTGAGGGGTGAGCGAAGAACACAGAGATTTCACACCCGAGAAGGAGGTGAGCATGATTCTCCAGGGAGCCACTGAGGGAGCAGCACGTACCAGGAGCCCTGGGAGCTTTTCCCATCACGTGTCAAACCTGCACCTGTGCCCTGTGTCGTGTAAGCTGTGCCCACCCCTCCTCTGCCTGCCCATTGCATCTTTCAGGACATCCCCAGCCCCCCGATCCTCAGAGCTCCTCTCTGCTCACTCGACGAAGTCAAGGCGCGGACTCTCTGCAGGCTCACAGACACGTGGAAGGCATGGCTCGTGTAACTCTTTTCTTCTCTCTTGACGTCTTAGAGTTTATTTTCTCTCTTCTGTTAAAAACAAACTCATCGATGGGTCCGGAGGAACTGACTCTGGGGCCCTGCTCCGGTCCCTCTGCTCCCTGGGCCCGGGAGGTGTGGGGGGTCCCCGTCTGCAGAGGATCCTCTGTGTGGCCCCAGGCCCTCCCCTCTGTGTGTGGGTGAAGGAATCCCCTCTCCTGCATTTCCTTGACTCCCCCTCTAGGTCTCCTCTCCCCTGGGCAGTCTCGGGTGTGTCTACGAGGCTGTGATTTAGAAAGGAGCCCTGGGTGGTAAGAACAGGTGACGTGCTCCCTGCCAATTGAAAGGTTGGTGGTTCGACTCCACCCAGAGGAGCCTTGGAAGAGAGGTGTGGCGATCTACTGCTGACAAAATCAGCAACTGAAAAACCCTGGGGGGCACAGTTCTTGTCTGACACGCATGGGGGCGCCAGGAGCCCTGGTTGGCTTGGCGGTCATTGGTCCCCTGGGGGTAGCTTCTAAAGGGATGTATAGGTGCCATCCTGTGGGAGTCACACGTTTGTTTGGGTTCCCGTCCTCACGTACACAGCGGGGATGAAGCACAGGTACAGAAGGAAGTTTAGAAATCTAGATCCAGGGGGGCTGGGAGGGTTCCCCATCCACCTAGAATTCTTGTTCGTTTTGGTCAGCCCAGTGAAGTCAGCCAGGCTGATGGCACAAGAGGGCCAGCCCACCCGAGTCCAGCCGCCTTGTTCGTGACCATCCAGGGGCTAGGCTGGGGCAGGCATATGGGGTGAGGACTGAAGAGGTCATCCCTGGGCTTCTCATGACCCCAGGGGCCCCTCAGATGGGCAGGCTTGAGACGGGGGCGATGGCTTCTTCACCACGCTGTACTCTGGTTCCTCTCGGGGCCTCTCGAGGGCAGTACTGGGGGCCTCAGAATCCTGACTCGGGGGCGCAAACGTCACCGAGGTGTAGTCCACCTTGTCCCTGGGCGCTGCCTGTGGAGGGAGACGAAGGCTCAAGACGAGGTGCGGAGGATGGGCTGGGGGACACCCAACCTGAGAGAGACCCAGTCATGCGGATCCAGCCTTCTGCCCACTGCCGGGGCCTCTTTCTGTCCCAAGCCTGCTCCCATCACAACTGACTTTCCATCCTGTGTGCCCACCTGCTCCAGCCAACGCTCCTGAGCCACCAGGGCCAGGAGCTTCCCTGGGCCCCCAGCCCTGACTCTGCTGGTGCCTTCTGCAAGGACACTGAGACCCTGAGCACCAATGGGCTTCCCCCTAAGGCAGCCCTTGTGCTCGGCTGGATGAAATGCCCAAGACCCGGGCAGCCAGGGTCCCTTTCTGAGAACTCTGAAGAGACTGTGGAGGATCTGAGGTGTGGTCGCTACATAATCTGGTGTCAGTTTGAGGCTTAAGAGTGAAGGGGTGGAGTCTAGCCTGTCAATCATCATATAGCCAATGAGAGCTCTGTGTGGGCATGGCCTTCTCTTGAGAATTCTGAGAACTCCTGTACTTCCTCCTTGGAGGTGGGAGACTCTTTCTCTGCTCATTGCCTGGGAGACGTTGCAGCTGAGAAGACACGTGGAACTACGTGAGTGCCCTGAGCAGAAGGAGCCACGTGGAGACCCCTGCCAGCGCTGAGATGCTCCCACACCGCTGGATCCACAAGACTTCCCACCCACTGATCTGGGCTGGACTGGTTTCTTAATGTACAGTCACTCTTTATAGAAAGTTCTTTCTTATACGCACGTGAGTGTGTCTATGAATTTGTTCCTCTAGTCTACCTAGAGGCCTCTCTGAAGGGTCCAGACCAGCAGGAGGCCCTGTGAGAACAGTGAGCCAGCTCCCCAGCCCTGCCGCTCTGCCCAGGTCCCAGTCCCCAGGAGCCACCCACACCTACCACGGTGCTGTACTCCACCTCCGCGTCCCTCTGCTGCTCGGGCGCTGTCCCCGAAGGCCACGTCTGCAGCTCCAGGTTCGCATAGCAGGGCTCCCCGGGCTCGTCGAGCTGGGGCTGGGCAGGCAGTGAGGAGCGGGGTGTGCTGGGAGTTCTCTGAGCCCCTGCCTGGGTCCGTCCAGAGGACCCTCTGCCCCAGCCTCTCTGCACCCACCTTCCCCCTCCCTTCATGTCCGGGTGTGCCTGCCCCAGTCTTTCCACCCTCCTCCACCCCTACCCGCCCACTCTGGGTCACTCTGGGCCTTGTTTGAGCACTGCTGAGGCTGCGAGGACCCTCCTCCTTCCACGTCCCCTGGACCCAATCACCACCTTCTCTGACTCTGGCCAAGCCCCACCCTCCGTCCCCCACTGTCCTCCTGGGCCTCCACTGCCCGATGCCACTGTCCATCCTGCTGCGTTTGGCCCCCAGCTGCAGCCCTTGCTCACCAGACTGTGGTTCCGGGACAGCTGTGCTCTCTGGGCAGCTAAGGGGACAGGAGAGGAGAAGGGTGAAGGCCCAGCACTCCCAACGCTTGATTACCAATGCTCAGAAACAGACCTCTCCCCACAGGGTCCAGTCCTGGGGGCGACCAGCTCAGGTCAGACCATGGAGGGAGCCCAGGAGTTGGTTGACTGAGTGAGTGAGTGAGTGAGTGAAGGAGGAAAGACAGGAGTGAAGAAATGGTTAAGTGGAGCTGCTCCAGGTGGAGGTGAACTAGGGGCTAGGGGGCGGCGGGGTAGGGGAGACCCTCTGAGTGCTGATGGGGAGCTCAGGAAAGACTGACCAGTGGCTGTGACAAGCGCGGGAGGTTGAGAATGGATGCCATCCAGGTAGAAGGACTAGGTGGTAACAGGGGCAGGGGCAGTGGGCAGGGCCAGAGCATGGAGGGCAGAGCATGGGAGTCTGCCTGCCCTGCAGCAGGCTGGACTCCACTCCGACGATGTGAGGATTCAGGAGGGATGACCTAAGGTCATATGTCATTTGATCTCAACTACCACTTCCTTGGCTCATGGATCCAGGCCAGACAGAATCCTTGGCACCTTCTGGGTCTCCTCCATCTACCGGGATGCTGCACGTTGGTCCAGTTGTGAGGATGCTGGTCTTCTTTACACTGAGTTGTAATCCCTAGGGAAGGCTGGGATCCTCGATCTTCATCAGCAAGTGCTTTGCGTGCTCCTCACTTGCAGCAAGCAAGGTTGTGTCATCTGCATAGCTTAAGTGATTCATGAGCCTTCCTCCCATCCCAATGCCCCATTCTTCCTCACATCACCCAGAATGTCTGAATATTTGCTCGGCATACAGAGTGAAGAAGGATGATGGGAGGAGACACCTTTCCTGATTGTAAACCATGAGATATTCCCGTCTTCTGTTGGCACCACTGCCTCTCAATTCAGGTTCAGGTTCCACGTGAGCATGACAGGTCCGGCTGCTGGACTTCCCACTCTCCTCCAGGCTGCCCACGGTTGGTTACGACCCATGTATTCAAATGCTTTTGCATCGTCCACGAAACACAGTAACCATCTTTCTGGTATGCTCTGCTTGTTATCCACCTGGCATCAGCAATGATAGCTCTTGTTCCACGTCCCCTTCTGAATCCGGCTTGAACCTCGGGCAGCTCCCTGTCCATGGACTGCGGCAACCGTTGTTGGATGATCTTCAGCAGGATTTCACTTGCATGTGATGTCAATGATATGGGTCTATAATTTGAGCATTTACCTGGGTCACCTTTCTTTGGAATTGGGGCATCACTCACCTTTTCTACGTCTGGTCCTCATTCTCCAGGCCACTAGGCAGGCCCCCACCAACAGAAGCAGCAGGAGAGCCACCAGGGCGAGCAGCACCCACAGCCTGGAGGGAGGACACAGGACGGTGAGGGGGCCGCATCTTCCTCCCAAAACTTGTGAGCAGATTAAAATGAAGCAGTGCCATTGGCTCCCTTCTGACGCCTAGCCACCCTGTAGGGCCTGCAAGGTGGTCAGTCCTTCCGGAAGCAGACTGCCCCCTCTGTCCCCCTTGGAGTGGCTGGTGGGTTCAAACTGCCAGCCTTCTGGTTAGCAGCCCAGGGCTGGACCCGCTGCTTCACCAGAGCCCCACGTGATCGATGGTTATGGTCGGATGAAACAAAGCAGAGGCCCAAATCAAGTAGATGGTGACACGTCACGTCTCCCTGCGCACGTCCCCGTCTGCCCAGGTCACACCCACCCACTCACACACTGCACCTGAACCTTCCAGAGACGCCGAGTCACCCGCCAAAGCAAAGCGCGCGCGCGCGCACACACACACACACACACACACACGCACACACACACACACACACACGCACACACACACACACGGATGCCAAATAGACTTGTATTCACCGTGCTCCAGAGTGTTCCCCAGGGCTAAGTTTTTGGAACGTCTTTACATGCTTGCCTTATGCCACGTGCCTGCCTTATGACCAATTTGCGTTACAACAAACTGCATTTACAACATCCTTGCACATGTATGTTTACATAGATGCATATTAGATAATTATGTGTTCCTATTACTGTAGACATATATACACACAGCTTATCATCAGGAATATGTGGATTCAGTAAAATATATCTGTCCTCTTGTGTATTGTTCTAATCATTAACCCATAATTTTCATCTGAGTTTCTTATTTAGCTACTAGAGTTTGCATGTACATTAACCCATGCTCGTGTTATCACCACGCACATAAATCTTGACTAAGACGAGGGCTTTTGCTGGTGCGCTTTGTAACTAGTCTATTAAAATGTCCGATTTTTTTGTCTAACTCTACCATCATATGGGCGTGACTCTGACAACCATGTAATTGCACAAAGAACGCTTTCCACTCAACGCAGAGGTGTTTGGGGAAGTTAAGTATTTGGGTATTGTTCAAATCACTTTTCTTCATGCTGCTTCCAGTTTATTTTTGCTCAGAGCACTGGGGCTGCAAGGCTGTCCTGGTATGACTTCTTGCTGGTGCCAGGCAAACTCCGCAGCATTTCGGCACAGCCGCAGTCAGCCTGCGAGCGAGGCTCAGTACCCGAGAGTCGAGACAGCCGCTCTGATTCATGGAAACACTCACAGCGAGCTTTACAGCAACCACACCCAGGGCTGAATTTTAAAGTAGGTCTTGGTTTTGCTGGAAACACTACCAAGTTGGTGCTGAGAAGAACTCAGGAGATAGACAGCCTTCAAAGGAATGAAGTTCAAAGTTAACGTTTTAAACAGGCAACCGATGCCCACTGCTAGCAGGTTACAAATGCCTTGGTTGCTTGGAAACACCGTTCCCACACTGCACTTAGGGAACCAGCAGCTTTCAAAGAAAGCGTTTCCGTGTCTGCATCATTTGTCAAGTGCAGGAATGCTGCAAATCGTTTCTCCGTATTGCATCTGAGTGCAGTCAGGAGTCTTGGCCGCTTTTGCCTGAAGGACCCCTTTCCATGGACAGCATTTAGATTCCTAAAGATAACTTCAGACCTAAAACTCCACGCCCTGCTCTCATCGACGGGATTCGGGGGTCAGTGGTGGTAAAACAGTGTGTCTTTTAAAATCCGCTGGTGGGCTTTTGCTTTGAAGCCCCGTGAAAGCCCCCCAGTTTCACTTCTACTCTGGGATGGCGGTTTTCCTAATCTGACCCAATTGTTAATCAGACGGTACCTGAGATGCTGCTCAGGTGTCCTAAACTGGAGACTCTTCAATTTGGTGTTCACTTGGCTTTTATCAAGCACTTCTGCTTCAGCTGCCTTCCTCTGTCAATTACACTGCTTCTGGTCAGAACGGAGCTTGGTCCTTGCTGAATTTCCCCAACACTGCACCTGACGTGAAAAGTGCACGATGGGCTAGAGTCTGTAATCATAATAAGCTAAGGTGTGACCTATGTGTAACCTAGAAAACATTGCTTGTGCATTGCCTAACTTATTTTTTCATGTATGTATGTACAGTTTTGTTTGTCTTGGAGGGGGAGCTGGGGAGAAAGGAAGTGGTGTTAACAAACCCAGGGGCAAGGGAACAACAAGTGATCCAAATTGGTGGTGAGGAGGGTGTGAGAGACCTGGTAGGGCATGATCAAGGGTAATGTAACAAAGAGGTATTGCTGAAACCCTGGTGGGGACTGAGCATGATAGTGGGACAGGAGGAAAGTCAAGGGAAATAGAGGAAAGAGCTGGGAGGCAAAGGGCATTTA